TTCATTCTATAGGTGGTTAAAATCCTGGAAAAATAAAGCGGCCCTAAGGTATACATCAGATAGTGTAAAATCAGACGCCCAAGAATGGTACTGGGTACTCAAAAACTTCAACGTACGCCAGATAATCCCCTTGCCGAAAGCAACAGAGGTGAGGTGGGTCGGAGATGCTTCTTCATCCTTCGGAATAGGAGTCTTGATAGGAGAGAGTTGGGCATGTTTTGAATTTACTCAAGGTTGGCAGACACTCGGTTTGATTGACGATAAGCGCACAATTGCGTTTGCAGAAACTGTAACCATTAGATTGGGTTTACTAGTGCTGCAGAAAGTCAAAAAGATAGCAGGTAAGAGTCGTTATCTGAGTCTTGGAGGTCTAGACTGATGTAGAGTAGTATTTTTTTTTCGTATGCAGGGTTGAAACTAGCAGTTTGGACAGATAATACCACCTCTCAATCAACAGTGAGAAAAAGACGTTCGAAAGATAAGATGGTAAATGAAGAATGGAAGGCCATACAACGATTACTTACAGTTTTAGGGTGTGACATTGAAGCAAAACGTGTAACGTCAAAAGGCAATGTCGCAGATGCTCTTTCCAGAGGCTATTTAGGAGACCTGCTGTGGTTTCGAGAAGTGCTGGTAAAAGTTCCTGAAGACCTGAAACATCTTTTGAAGCAAGTATTTCCGCCAAAAGTTCATCCAAAATCGGTAGAGGCCAAGATCTAGAACTAATATATTACGAACCCGAGTACGAGTTAGTCAGTCCAGTATGCCAAAGAAATCGATGAAGAAAGACGTACTTAATTCAGACCTGAAGAAGGTAACAAAGCCGTTCGGGGCCTTCAAGAAGAACGCTTTAGGAGAAGACGACTCAGATGTAGACGAAGTTAAGCAGCATTATTTGAGAGGAGCTTGGGGAGATGGTACTCTGAAGAGCTATAATTCGGGGATTGTGAAGTTACATAGATTCGCGGTCGTGAATAAGATACACAAGTCAAGACTCCTACCGATTTCTTCTTCACTATTAAAACGTTTCGTAGTTTGGGCTTCGAGGAAGGAAGTCGAGAAGGCAGCCGATGATGAGTCAGTGAAACACACAACTTTGAAGTCTTACGTAGCAGGAATCAAAGCTTGGCATCTCTTTCATGATGAAGAGTACCCAATGATGGTGGATACTGCGGTGAAAGCGCTTTTGAAGGCGTCGAAAATGATGGAAGCAGAGCTAGAAGAGGTTGACAAGAAAAGGCCTCCGGTGTTGATCTCAGATCTGGTCATATTGTTAGAAGTTTTACCAAAGGAAGGAGAGATTGGCCTAGCGATGTTGACAGTAGCCCTAGTATGTTTCTGGGGGACAGCTCGGCTGGGAGAGTTGATCTCTGATGATGCGAAGAGATCGGTTCCGAAATGGAACGACTTGAAATGGGCGGTCGACCGATCCTGGGTAGAAATTGCAATTCATAATGCCAAGACAGCTCGTCCGGGTGAAGTACAGTTCATCAAGTTATATCGCCAAGACTCCTTGTTGGATCCGGTGTCTGCGTTGGAGGAGTGGTCCCACTTCAAAGACTGGAAGAGTGGTGATGAGATATTTTCGATTAGCATAGGAGGGAAGAAAAGACGTTTAGGGAAGATAGAGACAATAACTCACTTCAGAAACGTATGGAACTCTCGGCGATCGAAGAAAGACCAATTACTTCATGGCCACTCGTTTCGGATTGGCGGTGCCTCGCTGAGGTGGAACTTAGGAGCTGACAAGGATGAGATAAAGAAGTGTGGTCGTTGGGCATCAGATGCCTATAAAATATATCTCAGAAAATATTCAGATAAGGAGTTGTCAAAGACTAAGAAACTGTTAAAAGATTTAATCTGGCGAAATAGTTAAGCTGGTTGTATCGTACCTGGTAGTGGATCGACAGATCTTCGTCGCTGAGGTCTGATCCTTCTAGAGTCTTCGATTGGCGTAATTCACTTATAATTTTGGTACAGTAAGGTTCTGTAGTGCCGAACTCTACGTGGTTTGAGGGTTGGGGCTTCTCAGGGCTCACAGCTCAAATCCCCGCGAGTTTTGGGGAAGAGAAGCCCTTAGCGGTTTCTTTGCTCTCAACCCGGCGAGGCGGTTATACCTCGGTAATAATAACTTATTACCGGTGGTAGACCCGCCTAGCTCGCCGGGTCATACCCCCAAACCACCAGTAGTAGATACATATATATTTATTATTAGTGGTCGCAAAGAATGCCCTTAAGGGGTCCCTTCTTTGGGAACACGTGTAATGAGTTCGGTTAGAAGTACAAGTAGAGTTTGTACTTCTAACTACTCATCCTAAACATTGCCCATACCAGTTAGTAATTGGAATGATAGTTTACCCAAAGCGCGCGACGGTAAGATATAGTCCAAGTACAACGGGTATGGGAGGTGTCGGGAGAGTCAGCGACCCGGGCAGGTGCTCGGGTAGCGCAACCACAGAGTAGTGGCGTTTTGTTCTCAAGTCGAGTAGGAAAATTTTTTCCTCACGCTTGGAAACGTCCATCTCAGTAGTCACTCTCCTTTAGACACCTATCTCTTCCTTTTCCTCATAAACTCTTATAGAATTTCTTAGGAAAATTTTTGTCCCACCCTCCGTCCCAGGGAAGAGAAGCCCTTAGCGGTTTCTTTGCTCTCAACCCGGCGAGGCGGTTATACCTCGGTAATAATAACTTATTACCGGTGGTAGACCCGCCTAGCTCGCCGGGTCATACCCCCAAACCACCAGTAGTAGATACATATATATTTATTATTAGTGGTCGCAAAGAATGCCCTTAAGGGGTCCCTTCTTTGGGAACACGTGTAATGAGTTCGGTTAGAAGTACAAGTAGAGTTTGTACTTCTAACTACTCATCCTAAACATTGCCCATACCAGTTATTAATTGGATGGATATATCATACACCACAAGCCAAAGGCCAAGGCAGTGTTTTGGTTAGGGGGGGGCAAATACTGATGCAGGGTCCCAAGCTGATCAATCCAAAATTCAAACTGATACAACTGCTACTGCTTGTCCGACAAGCTACGCATCAAGGTACTTTAGAAAGATATCAAACAATGAATTCAATTAGTGTCAATTTGTAATGGCCAATGGAAGCAAATGTGGTAAGAAGTTGTCTTGTGATAAAAAGTCAATTACAACCTTGAAGAAAAACCACCTTGAAAGCAATCATGGCTTCCGTGATGGGCATCCGTCTGATAAAGGAAACATAGAAGCTGCTTCCAAGAAGGTCAAGACTCAACATTTGGTGAGTGCTTATTATTGTCTCATTGTAATCATATTTTTTTAACCTTCATATATGATTTATCAGAACAAACTCACCATTTCCAGCCTCAAGATCAGTATCTGTTATCTGATAGCTGATAACAACCTTGCCTAATTTTCTCTTGTCAACAACCCCTCCTTTCAAAGGCTTTGAAATCTCTGTAATCCTCACGTCAATGGAATGCTTGTCAAAAGGTCCACAATGCTAAACACATGCACAAGTTATATTATCATTATGAGGATCATGTCAAGAAGCTTTCCTTTGATCTTTCTGAATCAATTGAAATCACTCAAGATGCATGGTCTTTGCCTAATAACGTCCCTTTCATGTCACTGACTGGTCATTTTAGAATTGACAAGTGGGAACTGATGGACATCACCCTTGGAATCACGGAAATCAAGGGTATGCTCATTGTTTTCATTTTATTTCAATAAACTCAGGTGGAATTCACTGACATGTTATCATCCAGGTGCAAACAAGGCTGATACAATTGCTAGTATTAATATTCTTAAATCCGGATTCACCCCCTGAATCCAAAGCCTGGAAATATGACAGGGCTTCAGCATTTTGGATGTGAAACACCAGGACCTCTCTGCTTCTCACTTGCGGCTCACCTAGGTGTAGCCATGGGTAGCTTTGAATGATGCCAATAAAATGTCTCCCAATGGTGCCTCTATTTATATGTTTCGCTCGGTAACTAATTGTAGATGCACAATCATTCATCCATTTTGGCCCCATCACCTATTGCTCTGCTTTTTAAAAAGCTTCCTTGCATTGATCAATCCATTTACACATTGACTTTTGGACTCCATCCCTGCCATGAACGTCTTAAACGTCTTCTAACTGCTTTCTGGTGTTGTTACTCTCCGCTTATGACAATCTGCGATTTGAGATAGCTTCAAATCCTACTTCTTTTGGAAAGATAACAGTGTGGTGATCTATTTATGGGATCAATCAAGAGAATCAATCATTGGTTGTTTACCAAGTCATTAGAAAAATTCAGCATAGCAGAAAATTTAAAATTAAAGAATATGATCAATTAGATCAATTTTGGGCTTATGTATTGATCATTGGATCACGGTTAGGTCATTGTATTTCAACAAGCTTATTAATATCATTCCAAATTAATCACAAACAGGTTACAAAAAGAAAGAAAAGAAAAAGATAAGAAAGATTCAAAAATATGGGTATTCAGGCTTGGAAATGGTTTTTAGGGTAGTATTATTAGGTTTGTGGGTCTTGTGAGGTTATAATCTGAAATAAAAGCATTATATTATACAGTAACAATTTTAATCTTGATGGTTGAGAAGAAGGAACAGAAGTTATTAGAGAAAAGGTACTGTTTTGAAGTTAGCAACGCCGCCACCTATACTTTACTATTTATAGTAAAGTATAGGTATCGTATCTTTTTTGCAGTATCCTGCCACCGATACTCAGTATCAGTATCGACGATACTGTACTTGGCAGGTCCTGATATGGTATCGAGGGATCCAATACGGTATCCGGTAAAGTACCGTGGAGGGCGATACTTTACCTGTCCTGATCCCGGTTAGTATCCCAGTATCTTACAGTATTTTTCAGTATTGGCCTGTATTAACCAAAACGCCGACACCGGACTTTTTTTTTAATTACCCCAACGCAATTCACTCCTAGACAGCCCCTTCCTACTCCATTCTCCCCTTCCGTTGAACTCTTCTCACTAGTTCAACCATCATCTACTATGGGACGTCTGACTTCATGGGCACGACCCTTTTTAGCACCTTACGTAGCCATGGAGGATGGAATGGCCCCTCTACTTGACAGTTTCAAGGTCCTTGTAAGTAGAACTTGAAGTTCGAGTTTGACCTTCGTTTTTTTTTCTAATCACTTGCTCTTGAGTCCAGACTCTGACTCGATCTATCCTTTCCCCCCACCTTTTTTTCCTTTTCTTCTTACCTATGATCTTTCTCCTCCAATCCCTATTCAGTACCAGATTACCCCACGTTCCGATTTGAACATGTCTCCATGTGTTCCTCATCAAAAGACTACCCCTACCTTACCTCCTGATGAATCAACCGATGCGGATCAACCCGTTGAGCCTGCAGGAGATCCACCCCGTCGACACAGCACTCGTGTTACAACGCTTCGTCGCCAGTCCTCAATGACCATACCACCTAAAGACTCTCAAAAGTCTATTGTACAATCGGACTCTGATACCTCTGTTCATGTTGTTGAAAAGAAGAACAAAAAGCAAAGCCAAAGTCGAACTGCAGAGTCCACTCGAACCGAAGAATCCAAATCAGAGGCATCTCAGTCTGAAGCGTCTTCTGCACGTGGTCACCACAAGAAGACGAAGAAAAAAACACAACCTAGTAGTAAACCTAAAACCTCCAAGCGTCCTAAGAAGACCACCATGGTGACGCTCAAAGACGCTAAAACTCAGGCTCAGGTTTGAACTTCTTTTTTTTTCGTTCAAATTTATTCTGTGTTCTTTTTATTAAGTGTACTGATCAGGCCCTCTGATTCTTACCTTTGGCTATTGTTTAGGCAACTGCCACCTCGAGGTCTCCTAAGCGAAAAAGACTTGAGGTCAATCTGATTCAAGACTCCGAGGATGAGCATGCAAAAGTCAAACCGGCAAAGAAATCAAAACCACAGGACAACAAGCAAAACAACAAGTATGACAATATCAAAGAATACTTTGGATCTCCTTATCAAGGCGGGAATGATGTGAGTATACATCTCTCTCTAGATGATCCGGCTCAATATGACTGACATTTACATTTCTTACCTAGGCGAACGACGGACCGTGGAATTCGTATGATTGCAAATGGTGTGGTGAACATGTTCGAGGAGGCGGCAGTTCTCCTACAAACATGTTAGCCCATCGCGATGGTTCTAAACAACCTGGGAAATCTGGTCGGCCAAGTTGCAAGAAACGGCATGTGGCCATATCTGCTGGTTGTAAACTTCCCCCGACAGTGGCTGAAGAACGTGAACAAGCTCGTCAACAACAAGAAACGAATTCCACCGCCCAGATGACCATCGATCTTTATGTTCAAAAAGGCTCTTCTCGGTTCTCAAACACCATTTTGAACCAAATGGTAGGCTTGTGGGCTGTGAGAACTTCTCAACCTTGGGCGCGAATCGAGGATGAGGCTCTTCGTGCCTGCTTTCGTTTCGCAAATCCCTCGGCTCAGCTCTTTGGACGTACCTGGTTAGCTGGTTTTACTCACAAGGCATATCTTGGGATGCGAGCCTCTGTGCTATCTGATTTACAAGTGCGTATTTAAGTTTGGTTTTGTTTTGAATATATTTTTAAATTTTTATAACTTATATTTGATATTGGAATCATTTTAGGCTAATGATTCCAAATTCGGTCTCATACTCGATGCGTGGACTTCACCCCGCAACAAATACGGCTTTATCTCAGCGTCGGTTACATACATCAACGATCAATGGAAGTTTATCACACGACACCTTTCGATGAAGATGATCGCATGGTACCACAAGGGCGAGTGGTTAGCAGAGCCATTGATCAATGTGCTTGCTAAACACAAGCTTTACCCCAAGATATGTATCAATTTTGTTTATATCTTTAATTTTCTATTTTTTTTATTTCCATTTTAACTTTAGCTAACATATTTTGAAATGACACATGATTTCACAGACGCATGATTCCGGCAGTAATAACGACACCTGCGCTCGTGCGATGCAAGCCCGACTTTCCAAAATCGCAAAGGACAACTACAAAACTTTTGATTTTGATGAGAAATGTGATCGAGTTCAATGCGCTGGGCATAAAATTGCGTTGATTGTGAATGGCGGTCTTCAGGCATTGGGAATCAAAGCGCCACCCCCTCCGCTTGTTAAGTCCACCATACTTGGTGATTTTCCACTTCATGAACACGCTATGCCATCTATTGTTGAAGAGAATGAAGAAGCTGAGAATGAAGAAGACAACGTCAATAAAACCGATATACCAGAATCCGACGAAGAGCTGGAACTTACTGATATAGCTGGAAAAGAGGTAGGCGAGCAATGGTACAACGTTTTAGATGGTCCTTTTGAGCTTTCCCCAGATTTGCCCGCCTCCAATCGCAACGAATCCAATGCAGTTTATTTATTGACACTTCAGGTATGTGTTTGTTGTTTAATTACAATGTTTGCCATCTTTACTAATATCAGTTGTTCTTGAATAGCTTGATGAAATCGCTCGTAAGATTGGAGGTTCCTCTAGGATGTTGGCAGTCTTTGATGCAACTTGTGTAAGTATGGGAGTGGCATTTCCTCGTCCTATTCCGGGTTATGGAATACGATGGAATATAAAACTCCAATGTTGGGAAAGACTCTTCAACGCTCAAGAGGTCAGTGTTTACTAAACTTCTTTATTATCATTATCAATCATCTTTTTAATATATTTCTCCTTTGAGCATCGTATAACAGGTTATTGATCGGATGCTCAAAGACGATCAGAAGGAAGTGAACAACGGCAAGTCCCACAGTCGCCGAAATCAAAGACCCGAACTTGGCCCCAGTGATCCAGATACATCTCAACCTTGGGGCATATTCAATAAAGCTCACATTTCGCCGGATCAATGGAAGCAGGTTGGTCAATTGATTAAAATACTTCGTGTAAGTTTTTTACATATTAATTACCCAGTGGCACAAAGTGGTTCACTGATTATTTCTCTTTTATCAAGGATTTCGAATCTTTAACTAAAGTATTTGAAGCCGATGCGCCGACTGGTTCACTTGTCATTCGGGAATACGTCAAATTGAAGAAGTCACTTCAAGATAAGATCGATGCATGTGAATCCCGAGCTGATCCTCTATTCCCAATGTATCATGGGATGCATGTTAGGGTAAAATCTTATTTAGCTGAAGCGCTTCAATCCGATGTCCTAGTCTTGGCGACCATCCTACATCCCTCATGGCGAACTGATTACTTTCAGTTTGCTTTTGGCGACAACTCAGATGAATTCTTAGCCGCTCAAGCTTTATTAGAATCAGCATTTGACATTAGAAAAATGAAACTTAACTCGGGCAAGAACAATGAAGGACACAGTGTGGATTCTAATGAAGAAGACAATGATGAAGATGGATTTAGGGCACATCGCAAGAAAGTTCAGACACGAACTGAAAATGAACTTAGCAACTATTTTGAGCGGGTGGATGAGCCCTCTAAAGCTGTAGAGAGGGACCCTCATCTTGCTTTAGAATGGTGGAAGGTAATGGTCCTCAATTAGCTCAGCTCAAATATCTTGCAAAAAAAGGACTGATGATGTTTCAATTTTATATTACCCAGGTGAATGCTTCGAGATATCCGGTCTTATCATCTCTTGCGAAAGACTATCTGGCAGTCTGTGGATCGTCGTGTGCTGTTGAGAGGACGTTCTCCGCAGCTGCAGATGTCTGCAGCCGTGATCGAGGGGCTTTGAAACCAGCAACAGTCGAGCGTTCAGTTGGGGCTTGCATTTGGTCTAAGGAGGGCATCGAGGTAAAAGGATTGGAATTTGACGAGTGTCAAAAGTGTATGGCTCAGGCTAGTACCTTGGATAAGTCACACCGAAAGAGGAGGGAGCGTTAGTATTATTTTGATTAAACAAATTTTTATATTTTCTATTCTCTTCTTTCTTATTTTCTGAAACACAAGTTGTACGGTTTGCGTGATGGGCTCTGAGAGTCATTTTCTTGTCTTTTCTTTGGTTTCTTTTATTTTCTTTCTTTATTTTCTTTTCTTTTTGTTGTTATGCCAAATGAAAACATGTGGCGTGCTTGGTTTGACATCGATACGCGATACTTTACCAGTATCGTACCGGTATTGTCAACATCCTCGATACTACGATACGTATCGGTATCGTATTGGGTATTGAGGATACTGTACCAAGCGAAGACTTGGACAGTACCTTGAGTTAGGATACGGTATCTGGTATCGTATCCAATCGGCCGATACCGTACCGGTCCGTCCTCCCAATAGTATCCGGTCCTGGATACTTTACCAAGTATCTGCGATACTATACTAGTAAAGTATAGGTGGCGGCGTTGAAGTTAGTAAACAAGGGGTTTACAGGTAGTTTACATATGTAGTGGTGGTAATAATAAGATTTAGGGTTGCCAATAGTATTTTCAGGGATTTTTAAGGTTACAGAAAATGATGTCATATTACATGAGCAAGGAGAAAGGAGTAATAGCTGTGTAAAGTGAAGAAAATGTGTGGATTTTGTCAAAAATGAAGTTTTTCAGCTGATTACATATGTCAAATGATGTCAGATTGGGATGGTAGATTGCTCATTCAAAGCAGAAGAGTAAATTACACAATTTACAACCTTTAAATCACTAGTAACATAGGTGTGTGAAAGAAGGTATAAGGGAAACAAGAAATTGGTGTGAACTTCAAAATTTACACTTAGACTAGCGGATAGGCGGGCCCGCCCGCTAATTCAAGGTCAAACCCACGTCCAACACTTCAACCCCCAATAGAGGCCGATAAAATATGTAGCAGCAGATTAAACAGGGTGGTCGAAAAAGCATGCTTTTGAGATGTTGTCTAATTCTGGTCTAACACACATAAGATAAAAAACCCCTCATAGTGATGTTTTCCTACAGGGTCCTCGGGGTTAATGACTGTTGGTGCTTCAAGGATCTTGGATATCCTAGGAGTTCCATTTTCACTGTTTTCTGCCTTCTAGAATACATAGAGAGGAAGACAATCAGTCTTGTTGACAGAACTCAAGCAAGATTTGTTTCAATAAGATCCACCCACCTTGTCCCTTGCAATAGATTTGGTATGTATGTACCTGTTTTCTATCAGTCTTGGTGACACATCATCGAAGATGTGAATATGAACAAACTGGAATAAAAAATTGATGATTCATATCTTCTGAAACATCAAATTTTAGCTAGATAGACCATTTGCTTTTGATCGGTACAATTAGCCTGAAAATCTTGCGTTGATGATTTGAAAGACCTAATTTCAGGATTCTAAAGTTCACAGAGGTAGATATCAAGAGTTATCGAGGTAATGGTACTTCTACACAAAAGGTTTAGAAGCTTTCGATTGAAAGTCACACGAAGTGCTTTTCAAAAGTGATATCAAGTGCTTTTCTGATTTTTAAAACTTTATTTTGTGTATTAGAACCGTAGGTCAAATGAGTAATTGCTTTTTGAGATTGCTTTTGAAAAAATTGAGGCGCGAAAAGTTTGGAGAAGTAGATATCGAGAGATTTCAAGGTAATGGTGTTTTGACAGCAACAAAAGCACCGGAGGCTATTGATTGGAAGTCGAAGGTCATACTGTTTGAAAGTTCTCTTGAGTGCTTTTTGAAATTTTCGAAATTCAACATATACCTCAGGATCAAAATCGATAGCGAGGAAATTTCATAGCTGCATGAGAAAGTGCCAGGTCAGGCAAAAGACACGACCTGTAAACGTCATCTTTGTGGGACCGGTGAATTCGGAAAGTGTAAATGAGAAATGCATACCAAAATGCATACCGATGCTAGATGAGAAAAGCATAGCAAT